TCATTATTTCCAAATTACATTTTTCTCTTTCTTTTTTTCCAACCACAAATTTTTTAATAAAATAATATTAAAAGTAAATCCAATTTTTATTTTTTATTTTTAACCACATATTGTCCATCAATCTGCTATTTTAAAATACATTCTTAGTCAAAAAATGGAGCTCGAATATGCGCTTATTTTTCCGAGCTTAGTAAAACATATGCACTTCGTTTCAATTTGACTTCTCGTGCCATTGACTTTTTCATCGTCCGACTCTAGAATAATTTTAATCTTATTTAGCCCAACTTAAGTTTAATTGAAAAAATGAACTATTTTATAAGTCGATGTATAAAGAGGTAAATTGCTCGCGATCTTACTCTCCATGTCCACATTAGGTTTTTACATTGTTGTTTTTGCCTTTTACTGTCCACTCACCTTTAAGCAATCACCGCGTGCAAGGATAGATAATTTGAAAATAATATCTGTAGGTGGGAAAGACAAAGTGTTTGAATTAATCAAAGTTTCATAGACTATCTAGCTAAATTAATGATTCAATTGTGTACTTTCTAAGTTTCTATCAAGAAAAATAGTGCAACCAAACAAAAAAAAGATAAAAAGTAAGTTTAAACTTTAAAATATGGTAATTAATACGAAATGTCCTTACATTTTAATGTTATTGTGCAAAAAGTCATTACCTTTCATTTTTTGACATTTTCACCCCTACCTTCACCTTTCCATGCGGAAATCATCATTTTCATTCAATTTATCATATAAAATGACAAATATACTCTCCCATTTAAATAAAACCCAAAAAAGAAAATAAAAATTAAAGAACAAATTGTAATCATACACCATAACTTTTAGAAAGTGCAAATGAGTACAACTAAATTATTAAAGGAATAATTAGCACAAATGTCTGTATCTTACAATATTATTGTACAAAACGTACTCACCTTTCATTTTTTAAAATTTTCATTATTATTTTTGTTGCGTATTGTCATACTTGGCCAATCCACCTAGGCCAATGGCCCACTCAAGCCGAACCACGTGGCACTCCAGCCGAGATGGCATATATTGTCGAGGTGGGCAATGGTCGAAACCCTTCAAGCCGAAGTTCGCTAGACGAGGCGCCTTTTCACCGAGGCCTGTGAACATACCCCGAGGTCCACATGCCGAGGCCCATGAACCAAAGCCATGATACTGAAGCTAGTTGAAGATAGCTGAAACCCTCAAGCTGAAGTATTGTGTGAAATGGTCGAAACCCCAAAGTTGATGCAAGAACCTCCGAACCACAAGGGAGTGTCCTCCATGTTCACTTCTCCCAAGAGATCGTCTGCATAAAGATCTTATTCGAATGATTAATGAAACGTTTGTCATAAACATAAAGGTCAAGTCTTGTCACTAGTATGGGGGGGTTCTGCACAAGCAATAAATGCGCTGCAAGCTAGCAAATCAAACTTCATGCCTGATAAGATGTTTAAATCAAAGAGATGAGACCACGTGCTACCTCATCCAAGGGCTCCCAATCACATATACCATTATAAATATTTCCCTTGTGTAACATCAAAAGGTTAATGCAATAATCAATACAAAGAACTACACTTTACTCAACTCTCTCTCATTTACTTGCAATACACAAATCGAGTTTGTACACATTTACATATACATTTATAAACACTGGTTGGTAATTATTCTACAATCAGATCACGAACAACCAGCCGAATTTCGAACCTCACCGTCCCGCGTCGTTGGGCTACTCCCAGGCCCTCTAAATCGCTCGTTTCAGACTGTCCACGTGTTTTAGCGTGTTGGACATTCGCCCACGTGTGCGCGAGTAAAACCAGCATCTGTTGGCAACACTTTTTGGGATCAACAATTTTCATATTTTATTTCAAATTTTATTATTTTTATCCATTTATTAATTAAAAGTTGTAAAATAACAAATATATTCCCCTTTTTAAATAAAGCAAAAATAAAGAAAAGTAAAGTAAATAACAAATTGCAACTATACTTCCATTTTTTTAAAAGTACAAATAAATTTCAAATAAATAATTAAAAATTTAAAAAAATCACTTTCTTTTTAATTATTTATTTGGAATTTATTTGTACTTTTTTGAAAAATTTGAGAGTATAATTGTAATTTATTTTTTATTTTTCTTTTCTTTATTTTTGTTTATTTAAAGAGGAGGGTATATATGTCATTTTACAGCTTTTAATTGAGAAAATGAATAAAAATAATGATTTTCTCAATGAGAAGTGAAAATTAGGGTGAAAAGGTGAAAAAATGAAAAAGTAACGATGTTTTGCACAATAATTTTGAAAGGTATGGACGTTTTGTGCTAATTATCCTTTTAATAAATTATTTGGACTTATTCGCACTTTTTAAAAAAGTTTGGAAGTATGATTCCAATTTGTTATTAATTTTCTTTTTCTTTGTTTTATTTTATTTAATTAGGATGATATATTTGTCACTTTACATGAGAAATTAGATGAAAAATGATGATTTCCATAATGAAAGGTGGAAGTAGGAGTGAAAATGCCAAAAAAATGAAAGATATGAACGTTTTGCATAATAACATTGAAAAATAAAGACGTTTTGTGCTAATTAACTTTTAAAATAAGTCACTGTTTTGATTAGCTAAAGTTGAAAAATAAGTAAATTATAATTTTTTTTTAATTATTGATGCATGTATAAGTTATTTTTAAAATAAGTAATCTTTCGATTTATAATTAGAAAATGTCGTGGAAGCTCGCTTCGAAAATCGTCAAATTGGTAATTTTCATGTTCAATTTCACGTTACATTTCTCTACTAAGCACTCCAATCCACAATCAATATATTTATTTTGGCTGCTTTTCAATCTCACCCATAAAAGACAAGATAACGATGATAATTTGTAATCATAAAGGCAAGAAAGAAAACAATGAAAAGAGGCAAGAGACACGACCAAAAATCAAAGGGAAGCGACACGAATTTTCTTCTCCAGCAGGCTATTGATTTCTCTCTTTGCATGCACGCATTTTTTTTCCCTTCCTTTCAAACACACAAAAGTGATTAGTGTAGAAACACATATAGGCTTAGGCCTTTAGTTGGACCATTAATAAAGTTAAATGAGTCAAAATTCAAAACCATCAAAGAGATAATATATATGGGTCTGGACTTGATTGGTGATAATTATTTAACTCATCAGCCGATACCTATGGTATATATTTAGACGTTTAACATTATTACCTGCAATTTATTGGGTATCAAAACCCAAAAAAAAAAAAAAATCGAATGCTTTTTGGAAATAAAAGTTTAGGGTTTTTTTTTAAGATTTGCCACACATGCTAATTTGAAATTTTAGAACCATTAATATTTTTAAAGAATAAGATAAATTTATAATATATTCTTCACAAATGTGAGAAGAATTTTCTACGACTTCTAATCAGTGTTTCAAAAATCAATCCGAATTAATTGGTTGGTTTTGGCAATTTGATCGGGTTATTTTATAGTTGAACTAGTGAGTTCAGTGGTTATTTTAACGGTTTTTAAATTTTCAATTTTAAGCTTATGTTTGTATCAAATCTTGATTGAATCGTAGGCTACATCTGAAAGGGAGCTCATGTATCACACACAACCAAGCAAAATTATCGATTTATAATTTTGACCGATTTTCATAATCAATGTCCAAACCATATTCTCCCGTAACTTTTCATTTTATTTTACTTTTAATTGAGTAAACGATTTGATTCGATTCATACTTAAAATGTTGACCGATAATAAAAAAAATAAGAAAATTTTGTGGACCCAAACAACGGTCTTTGAAACAATTAAGTAATTTGGTGAATTTTTGGCACTCCTACTTTGGATAGATAATAATTGCAACCAAATAAAAACAGATAAGTAATGTCAAGTCTGAATTATACAAATAAAAAATATGATTCCTGTTATAGTTACATGATGAGAATACAATATTTTACCATATAAATTCAAAACAATTTGAAAAAACACATGGATAAAATAACATCAAGTATTATTGGAAACTAAACTTTTTATTTCAAATAGATCTCCAGTTACTCTACCAAAAAATAAAAATAAATAATAATAATAATAATATATATATATATATATATATATATATACATACCTTATAAATTTGAAACAAATTTAAAAAGCTTAAGACTATAAATAAAATAAAGTCGATTTTTATTAGAAAATATGAAACAAATTTAAAAAGATTAAGACTATAAATTATTATTAGGAAATAGTTCTTTAGGAAATTTTATTGGGAAAATGTATTTCCAAATTAATTTGTTTCTTCATACAGTTGGTTAAATTTTTTTAAAATTTAAAGATAATAAGCAATAATTATGCCAAAATGTAAATAAAGAAAACAATTTCAAATTTCTTTAAAAAAACAGTATTAAAAAAAAAATTGTCGTCTCCAAATTAGAAAACAAATCATGCCGTTTCTTCAAATATAAAAGGGGCATTTTTAAGAATGTCCAATTTTAAGGGGTATGAGTTCAAAAGTGTCAACTTATTTGAATTTAATGTCAACTTGTATATTATGCCATTAATGAAAAGCTACATTTTGAAATGATATTTTCAACATTTGATTTTTTTATTAATTTGTCACGAATTTTGAAAAATGACTTCCATGAGAAGTTATATTAAAATAATGTTTCTCGACATTTCATATGTTATTCTCGATATTTGAATATCGTTTCATTTGTCTAGAATGATATTTCATTTTGAACATGATATTTCTTTACATTTAAAAATATCGTTCTCGATATTTCTGAATCAATGAAAAACATAACATTTATTGTGAATTGATATGTATACTTTTTAAAATAAATATGATAGGTTATGCGTCAAAATTTTATTGATCAATAACAATATTGTAAAAATATTCATTTTTGTCTTAATATAAAATTATAAATTATTAATAAGAGTATTTTGGTCTTACAAATGAGTAAAATTTCCTCAATATAAAACGGGCAATATTCCGTTCATTCTTTCCATAGCAAACTCAAGACAAAAGACAATACCAGTCTCTCTCTCTCTGAAGTCAGTCATTTTCTCTCTCTTAACTCCATTAATGGAGGGAATTGAACTTTACACACTCCAAACAGAAGCAAAATACTACAAAGTGTAAGTCTTAAAAATTCTGGCGCCATACTTTCACCTACCAATATTTCAAAGCTCCTCTCCTTTTATCACTTTTCTTGAGTACAAGAATTTGGAGCACGTCAATCATAAATTTAGAGTAATCTCTGCCGCATTTGTTTGAATAAAAAAGCTTAGAAATGGACGACAAGGAGAGCACTGAGTCGGGTTCGCCAGGTGGGAACTCAGAGTCTGACTCACCAGCAATGACTAGTGGTGGTGATATTGTTGCTGGGGGTGCTGCTGTTAGCGTGGAAAGAAGCGTTGCAGCAATAAATGCGCCAGCAGTCACAGTGAGTGGAACTATGGGTGGCGAAGGAGGTGGAAGTGGTGATTTAACGATGGGTAAAAAGAAGAGAGGGAGGCCAAGAAAGTATGAATCAGATGGGAACCTGAGAGTTCCATACGCAGGATCTCCACCAGGTGGAGTGCTGTCCCTGGAAGGCTTTAATTTGTCACCGACTCCAGCATCTAAGTATTCATCTGGCACCAAAAAAGGGCGTGGTAGGCCTCCTGATTCCGGCAACTGGCAAATTCTTTGTTCTTTGGGTATGGAATTTCTAAACAATCTCACTACTACTGGCATCCTTAATTAATTTTTTGCATATTATCTTATACGAGTATATCTATTCTTGTGGGTCTTTCCAAGATTTGATTTTTTCTTCATTTTTTGCAAAAATGATGCAAGTCCCTCCTACAATATATATATATATATATGGGGTTTTTTTTTTGG